TATTCTTAAAAGATAAATGATAACTTTTTCATATCAAATAAAAAGCCTATACTTCAAAGCAAATATCAGTAGCCTTGCATATATTTCCTCTTATTCTCGCAGGTAGACATAAATTTCTTTGCATGATACATGACATTAAAAAGATGGAAAAAAGAAAAACTAGAAAATATGGTTTTAGCCTGGATCGATGAGCGGTTAGCCAATTAATTAATTGCTTTCTGGAAGTCACTTAACGATGGAAATACACGTGGGCCTCAAATACATGAGCAGTATTTAGTACTGCTCATAGTCATTGGTAGCTGGTTTAAACCTGTTAAAAACAAGTATCTTGAATATCAACATGTTACCTGATTATACTATAATTGCGAATAGAACGGAGACTTTAAAACAGTGCGAAGATCTCAATAATTTTGACTCAATTTGAGAATATTTTTTCACAAAATATGGCAGATGATAAAAAATATTAAAAGAAATCAACAAATATTACTTCTGAGATTTGGTAACAAATCGAAATCGAACCGAATTAGGTAATTCAAACCCGCATTCAGTTCAAAATTGAATCGATTAAAAAAGATAACTTGAGAGGCGCCGAATAAGATATTGGGTTAATTTCAAAAAAATATTTTTAAATTCGCTTTTATGAGATATCACTGGGTTCCAACGAGTGGATGAAAGTTTGTGACAATATGTTGTCTGAGCCATATAATTCTCCGGTATCTCAGCGGATTCTCATGAATTTAACTTAGTGGAACGAAATTTTAGGACATTTTTATTTGTCGCTTTCATCTTTTCAATAAAAGAATCCAGTATTACTATGACATTGCAAAGGATATCCAGAATGGATATAGAGCACTATTAAAGCTTCTGAAGAACTTGTTCAGTTAGAAACTTTAAAATGTAAGGAAATTTATAGTAGTTTATATTAATGAGGATGTGGATAAAGGAGCACAGCCAATCAAACACTATTCCTTTATAAGTAACTTATTTATTTCTGATGTTTTATCATTAAATGAAGCTGAATTTTTTGTCAGAAAATACAATTTGGCTTGAAAATTTTCCCAGTAATTTCTTCTTAATTTTCTTCTTCTTCTTAATTTATGATATCGAATGAATAATAGCATTTATAGAATTGTTAATAAATTTTCCATAGTTTTTTCTTTCATCGTAATTCATGGTCAGATTTCAACAAATAAACAATTAATATAAAATAAATTGTCGAGAAATTCAAGGGCGACAATAACCACAAGTGAGTCGACACACTCTACTCATTACTTTTCCATATTCACCGATAAAACAGTATTTGGCATTTTCTCGACATCGAGAATCTGAATCGAAGCAAGTTTTCGACTGAATAGTGCTATTATTCTCTGAAATTTATAACGAGAGTTTTTATTTATCAGAAATGAAATCTTTGGCAAATATGTCGAAAATGAACCTGGCAAACAATCCCTTAAATTACATGTCTTTTTACATAACTTCTTCATGAAATCTGTGCTGCAAGTTGGATCACCAAGGAGTCTTATCGCGCAATATTCGTCTTGATCTGGACAAGCTCCAAGCGCGCCTGGTCTATCGCAGAGTCCACATGTGTGTGGACATCTTCTTAATGCAATATCATTCAACCGTTGATCGCTGCACAAGCTGCCTTCATTGTACAATCGTTGACATGCACCTTCTGCTCCCGCTGCTGAAAAAAAAATGTCAAGAAAGATTTTACTGGAATGATATTGGCATCTTTTTAACTATAGAAAGTAAATTTACCATTTGGGCAGTCAAATTGCTTTGTTTTACAACAGAAGGCGCAGTGACTTGAACATTCACGAAGTGCAAGGTTTCGCAAGGTAGGGTTTTCACACAAGTCACTAACTAAATAATTTACCTGTCTGAAAATACGCATTAAGTATTTCTTAAAGATTTTGTATGTAAAGCCATGCATTTATATGTAGCAGAACAAATAATATGTTGAAAATCACAATGATAGTTCAAATTATTGAAACTTCTTGAATTAGTATAAAATATATAAAGTAGCGACTGAGCCTATTTTCGATTCTCATGCATTTTCGGCTCAGTCATTGCCAAAATTTGCCATACGGAAGTAATTACTATTCTTTTTTTATTATTTACAGAATTGCTTTTAAAAAAATAGCTCTTACGGATTGGCTTGTGCTGCTAGTGTCGCGGCTATTTCGCCATCGTTGGCACCATTTTTGAATATTCATTACACACTCGATCATCTCGATTTGTACATCGCTGCGCATGAACAGATGGTCGTTGAACAGCTCCAACTGTAACAGCGCATGTCACTATTTGTACGCCACCACTGTTCACAATATGGATAAGAGAAATGAAGAAAAAAACGAGCGGCAGCATTTCTGATTTACAGATTCCCGAACTATATTCAACATCTGCACGCAGGTTTTTATTGTGCCATTTTGGCTTTTCATATCAGCGTAAACAGTGATTTCCTGTACTTTCCTCAAGCAAAATATTAGAATCTACAAAAATTTGTTTATTCATATGCCAAATTTTTTAATTCGATAAAAATCATTCTAAATGAAGAATTTATCGGAAATATATTCTAATAATCAAGATTTTTATTGAATTAAAAATGATTATTACTGAATTATTAAATTTTCTACTAGAATTATTCGTGCAGTTTAAGTGGCGCATAATCTACAAAGATTTTAAATAAGGCAATCGGCGATAAACGGATTTAAAAGGTGGAAAGTGGCGTCGGAATGGAAGGCATGCAAATTCACCAGTGGAATATGCCGAAGTAGCAATGCTTCGAAATGCTAAAAGATGAGGAAATTTCGTAAACGTCGCAATTTTTATGAAAAATCCTAATCATTGTTCTTCAAAATTACTGCATAAAAAGTGATCAACATTTAATTATTTTCAGATATTTAAATTTTATATATTATAAAATTTAGCTTTTTAATTTTATCATTCAATTACCATTAGTTACTATTTGATTAAGAAATAATAAATTTATAAATAAATAATAAATAATAATAAATTTCACGAAAAATTATTTTAAAATAAAATTTTGAATTTAATGAAGAATCGCTAGCTATTGTTTTTTATAAAGGCTAAAATTTAAGCCTTTGCCATTAAGTATGAAAAGGAGGGAGAATAACCGTCTGGATAAAAGATTATCATTGCGAGAGCGGAGTTCGCCTTCTGCAGTTGACGGAGCACTATTTAAAAAATCCAGAATACGCTGGATTTCATTTTCTACCGCTAAGTGGTTCCCCAAACAAAATTTTCTAGTATTTTTTTCGCATTAATATTCAGTGGAACCAGAAAAAGGCGAATGGTTTTTATTTTCGATCTTTTTTTATAATATAATGTATTTTTTTTAATAATATAATATACATAACAGTTTTCTGCCAAGTTAAATTGATTTTATTTTATTTAATTTAAATTGATAGGAAAAATTATAAAATTATAAGCAATTAATTAACTAAACAATAATGAAGCCGAATAATGGAGAGCAATTTTTTTCTAAATTTTAAAAAATTATAGTTTTTTAAATTTTCGTTTTTAAAACATAATTTTTCAAATACTTTTCATATATAATTTTTTTTCTCTTTATCATCTCATTTAATTCATCTAATTTTTATATTTTTATGTTATTAACAATTTCAGAAATATCCTAATAATGATATCCGTCAATGGTTATTAATTTCTGATCTGAATTTGGGTTATCGCACCATATGAACATATGTTGATAGCCTCTCTAACAACAGTATCAATATTCTTTGTTGAAATAATTCGATCATTAAGGTCATTAAATAATACTGTGATGCTATGAAATTGATAAATGCAGTTGATTTATGCCGACAAAATAGCGACAAAACAGCGAGGAAGCTTTGGTGAAAAGAGTAAAACTTTGAAGGAAGCTGGATCACTGTAGAATCTGGAATATCTATCATCAAATTCTTGAAGGAAAATTTATAAAAATATATATAAAAATATAAAAAAGTAGAAAATTTCTTAAAAAATACAATTCGAGAGCTGAGGCATTCGAGTTACGAAATCACACTTGGAATATATTGCGAAATCCCGTTATTTCACAATGCCAAACAATTTTGCATGCAAATAAGGGGATATAAGTAAAATTATGTCAATCGAATACCTTCAAATATTGAATATTTTAGTCGTTCATTTCTATCAGTGGATAGTGAATAGTAAATTTGGAAGGAGAAGAAAAGTAAAATTTTTTTAAATTTTTTTTAAGTAACTTTTTTTGAAATACTACAATAATTTAAATCGTTCAATCAAAGGATTCTGTCACAACAGATCGCAATATGGAGGCTAATCACAACCGGTAATCATGTTATAAAAAATAAAATAAGGTAATAAAAGAAAGCAGCAGAATGGTGCTCGCCTGCTACGCGTTATTATTTTAGAAAACTTTGGCTGCTTTATTATGACAATAATAGATATATTGATCACCGTAGCTATTAATAAAAATTTCATTCTTCATTTGGCTTCTTTTGTTGTCAACGATGGCATCAGACGGCGCTGCTTGGAAGCGTCTTACCTGTAGACGTTGGAGTCAGCCTAACCAATAATGATGAGAGCTGTTAGAAGAAGAAGGTCAAGTAACAATAATGGTACTTAATCATTGCTGCAGTTATATTCCTTAGTTAAGCAACAAGTCACACACCGAGCGAAATTTCTTTATGCTTCCACCTTACATCTGTTTCTGTCTTCATGATTCATGTTTCTGCAACAAATTCAAATCTCTCTCCATGTTTTCTTAAAGTTACTATGCAACGAATTTTTGCATAAAATTGTTTTAGTAAAAACAATAAATAATAAACAATAATAAAAACAATGATTTCATCAGTATTTAATAAGACAATAATAATTGCAATAAAATCTAATAGTAATAATATTAATAATAAATCCCCATGTTGATTCCCCGTAGGAATAAACCTATGCAAAAATCTGGGTGATGGTGGCGGCTTACCTGTATCTCTATCGCCAAGGGACTCCCTGGCATATTGCGCAATGCGACAAGTGGAGCGAGTTTAACCAGTAATGGTGAGGACTTTTAAAAAATATTTATATATATACATATATATATGATCGATTCATTGCTTTATTGCATCGATTCATTGCTCTATAAATTCTGCGAATATTAATAAATTCTCCCCAAAATATTCCGATGAATACAAAATAAAATCGGTAAGAAAATCTTGAGACAAATTCTTCTGGAATTGATGGATAAATCTGCAATTGTGGCACAATCTTTCGCCATCATTACCTTCACTGAACGAGCATTATTGGTAGCAGCCGACTTTTTCATCTCTTTATAATTTAAAACTTTATGCCGACAAAATAGCGAAAAAAATGTGAAAAGTGGGACTACTATTAAATCTTGAGAACTGAGAATCAGATTTCAAGAATTGATAAAAAGGGTAATAAATGCAACAAAGCTTAATAGAATTGGTAAATCAGGCCTCAGAATTGCACTGAAACTTAGTTAAAAAAAGTAAATAGAACAGTCCTTCGAAATTTATATACTTTTCCCAGTTTAATAGGTGATAAAATCGCTTAATTAAACACAGATTTAGGAATGGATTGTGATGATAGTGATAATGGTAGTGAAAACGAATTCAATAGCAATAAGGCAAAATGACAACTGTGAGTGACTTTACAATTTACACCGACAAAATAGCGCACACGACAAAATAGCGAGGAAGTGTGGTGAAAAGAGTGAGACTTTGAAGGAGGCTGGATCACTACAAAATCTGGAATATCTATCAACAAATTCCTGAAGGTCATAATGTTGTTCCTTGTTATCAATGCACAGCGAATAATTTTAGAAAAAAGAAATATTTTTTTCTTATAAAATATTTCCTTTTAATTTCATTTATAAACAAGCTTTCGCAATCATTGCCTTCACTGAACGAGCATTGTCGGCAGCAGCGTTCATCGCTTAATTTAAAACTTGGTGCCGACAAAATAGCGAAAAAAAATGTAAGAAATAGGATTATTATAAAATCTTGAGAACGATAAACTACGTTCCAAAAACTGATAAAAAGGTTAAATAGTGGATCAAAACTTAATAAAAAAGATAAATCAGGCCTCAAATGTTAATAAGAACGGTAAGCTATGGGTAGATAGGGCTTCAGAAACTGAAAAAAACCGTATATTATAACGGTGTATTACGGTGAAAAACTTAAAAAAATGCAAATTTTTGTCTGATTTTGTGCCAATTTTGCAAAACTATTGTACAATCAAATTGCTGCAACCGAAAGTTCCAAAGTAAATTTCGCCTTATCAAATTTGTTATCAAAATTCGCTACTCAGAATTTATCGCTTCGAAAAAAAGAGGCATTAAAAAAATGTTTTTTAAATTCTAATTGGTTTAGAAATGAGTAGCATTGTTATCTTTTTCACGCTTTTTTTAAAACAAATCAGAACATTTAAAGTTGCATTTTTTTTTGCTTTTCTTTTTGTACTTGCAAAATAGAGTTCAAATATGAAAGGTGAAAAACCTAAAATAGTGGAATTTGGTGGGCTTTTAGGAAAATTCTGATAAGGAATTGAATATATGATTTTTTATGTCAATATTTCTCCAAAACTATAAATTCATTATTTAATAGATTTTTTATGGCAAACAAAAATCTAAAGCCATATTAATATATATAAACTTTATAAATATAAATATTATATACAATTGTAATATAAAATCAAATATGAATTTTTACATATTACCGTATCAATGCCGTTAGAAATATATTTTTTAAACTGTGAAATAAATAAAATGTGAACAAATTATTAAAAAATAAACTAATTAAACACATCGGCAATTAACGATTATTAAACGAAATGGCTTATGTAATTTGCAATAAATTTTTTGAAAATCGTAAAATCAACTAATCTTTGTATTCATTTATTGATTTATAGCCTCATTAATTTAAATTATATTTCTAATTTACGAATATCGCATTAAATTAAGTAATATTTTTATAATAATTAATATTCATTATTTTTCTAAAGCTATTTCAATGTATAATTAATTAATTAAAAACAAAAAAGAAATGAACAAGAATTTAAGGCAGTTTTAATTCACATCGATGTTAATAAAATATAAAAATAATTGTATTGATTATGTACATTAACCGACGATTTTGGGCACACTTCACCAGAATATCCTCTCCTATTCATTATATAAAATTTATTGCCCAAATGGCTAAACTTTTCTAGTTGTACCATGTGAAGGTTCACATACCGCGAATTACCGCGATCCTCGCTTAAACGACATAACACTTCAATGGAAAAATAGTCGATAATTCAGATAATTAAAATTTCATCGTATATGAATTTAACAATATAAACTGTTATTAATA